CTTGACAGATTTTTTTTTCCTCCGGGCGCTTGCTCGGTTCCAGAAAGGGAAAAAAAATCCTGTGCGTGCTCTGTTCTGTAAAAAGACGTCCAGGCTCAGCAGTCAACCTAACCCGAAAAGAAATGTCTGGAGCCGGGGAATAATTGACGATTCGATCCTCTAATCAATGGGACAGCACGGGAGATTGACAAGAGCTGCACCCAATCACGAGGAAGCTCGGGTGTGCAGTGGCTCGCAGGAGCCAGGGGGCGGGCAGAGAGGCGCTGAAGTTCGCTGCGGCTCCGGAGGGATGGCGCGGTTCAAGCTGTCAAAGCGGCAGGCTCTTCCGGATTTAGCGAGCACAATAGGAAAGAGTTTTCGAGTTTAAGAAAAAAGAACGGATTGGGGGATTTTTGCATGAATCGTATGCCTTGTCCATTGCCTTTCGGAAAAAGTTAGAAAAATTCTGCTACAGAAATATTTAACTTTGCATTAATTGTTATTTTTAAATTCAGGGAAGTTGTTAACCGTGGTGGAAGGCGAGGTTCAACTTTTAAATATGTGTGGCTTAGAAACTTGCGTGCTCTGTGGGACTGTCGTCAGCTCTGGGGGGGATCTGTTGCATACTCAGCATTGCAAAACCTAGCTCTGATTGTCTTGGAAACTGGCTTTCAAGGGCTTTGAAGGGATGGTTCAGCCAAGCCTCTCTCTTCCAGAACTGTGAACAGCAGTTTTAAGGGAGAGAGACTGTTTCACAGGGGGACTGACAGCTGTTTTATACATTTGAAAGAAAGAGGGGGAGAATGCTTTTTCTTGATTTTTCTCGAATTTTGCTGTTTAAATATATGGTCAGTAGCAAATAGGATATTGGCTGGCCAAGTTCACATTTCTTCTTGTTGCCACAACAACCCCTGTGGAGGGTGCTGTGGAAGGTTGCTGACTCCGTTGCTCGGCTGGAGTCTGCCCCTTGGACGAGTCTTTGACACCAGTGCAGTGGGAACCAACTGCAGTAGCTTGTCTTGGAGACAGTAACTGGCAGCCTCTGACTAAAATATATCCATCTCTTCCTTCTCTCTGAGCACTGTAGACACCTAATTCTGTTGGGAAATGAATGGAAAAATACTATGGGCTCTTTCCCATTTTGGATTAAATTCCCATTCAGCTATTTCCTAAGGCTTTAGGCCTTCTGATCAAATCTGGTTTTGAAATTTGATGTAAGAGTCCACCTGCATGCTCAGTTCAGCAACATGACTCCATTTAGGAATATATGCATATAAGAAAAAATCTGTGCACAAATGATGAGTAGGTAAAAAAACTAGAGAAGAAAAATGGTGGGAAATGCTAGTGATAAAGTTAGTTTTGCTAAGAACTACAGTTAACAGTGTTGTCACTTATGAACCCCAATTTTATCTTCACTGCTTTGGGCATTAAAATCTAAGTCATATTAATAAGATCTTCCTATTAAATAACCTCTGAAATGAGAGGTATTTGAGATGTACATATAAGTGAAACCTCATTGACGTAATTTATATATCTAAGAGGATTTCACTGAAACTGGCAAGGTAACGTTTCTGCAAATAAAACACAGTAAATGCAAGGCTGGGCTCTGTGCCAGGAAGAATATGGATAGCAGAGAGCATGACAGGAGCCTCCTTACGCAGAGACAATCCCATTTCAAGGCAGCCTCCTAGCACTTGCAAAATAAATGATTGGAGCGGTTATTTCCAATAAGGGGTTTATCCTTCCTAACAACGGGTCATTTGTGTGATTGCAGTAAACTAGTTTTCTTACTTCACCTGTGTTTCCTACACTGGCGTCTCCTCTCCTCTCTTTCTTCTCTCCTCCCTCCATCCCTGCTTTCTCTCGAGTGTCTTAGCGTCTTTGTGAACTCTGGACAGGGATTTACTTTTGCAACTTGGGAAGAGGGGAGAGCGTTGGAAATGTTTTTTACCCCGAGACTGCCCTCTGAGGAACATCTGTTTCTTTGTGTGTGTGTTTAAATTTATGCCTGTTGGAGAGAAAGTTACCAGAAGCCTTTCTGTAACTGTAACTCTTCTACTGTATTTTTCTCAGTCCTGTTTCCAAAGGCTGTAGCTGGAAACGTGCTTTGTGGAGTTTCCCCGCCTCCCTCCTCGGCGGGGAGGGCGCGGGAGCTGGCGCGGGTAGGGAGCACGGAGCGGATGTGAAGGGCTTTGGTGCTGAACTTGGAGCCAGCCCTTGCCTAGAGGGCGCAAACAATCGTCCCAGATCCAAAAGTCTTACGGAGGGCGCCAAAAGTTACTTAAGATAATATTGCTAACCGCAGAGAGCTGGAAATCGCGGGCACGTCCACTGCTGCAACAAAAGAAGTTTTTAAAGTAGAAATATCAGCATTAAATTACTTTTCCCCCATTTTTTTTAAAACCAGGGCGATGTGCCAATCCTTTAAAAAAGAAAAAGTCTGTCTCTTTTTCTTGAGATTCACTTAAAAGTAAGAATCTCTGCTGTTTGGGGAAGAGGCAGATGTGAAGTCCATCTTTTAATACACCAAAAGAGAGATTTTAATCCGCTCTGGATGAGAGCTTCCCAGGAGGACACACTCGGAACAATAGCTTCTCGCTGTGCCTCAGTTCCATGTTGGGACCGTCAGCCAGAAACTTCTGTCGAGGAAACTTGGAGCGAGTTGAAGTTATAGATCCCAGCAAAGGTTTTCGTGGCCAGGGATGTTGTCTCTGCAGCTCGGCTGGGCTTTTAGGACATTTCTCCCCCCAACGGAAATCCAAGAGGAACCCAGGAAAAGCGGTTGTTTACTTTGGGACTCTCTCATTAAAGGTTTAAGTCATTATTTCTCCTCACCTCTTAATAAACAATCTGAGAGATGTCTAAGGATATTTAGAAGCCGGGTGTGGGAAAATGGTCCCTTGAGAATTCAGCAGGAATTATTTTAGCAATAAAGTAACTGGAGAACCAACATGAAATAACTTTAGACAGATGCAGAATATTTCAGAGTTTTATTTTGCTCTCTCCAGGAGCGAATCTCTTGCCCTTTCCTTTAAAAAGGGGGAGGGGGTCTGAATGAGTGGCCTTAACCCTCCCCTCACCCTCACCCGCGCCGTGGGCATTCCTACTGGAATTTCCCCCTTTCAGCTCTCTAGCTGTGCAGCCTCTGCCAAGGTGCAGGTTTCCGTCTCTGTGCCAGTGTCTTTCCTCTTGGAATTTAGAGCCGGATTCACAAATGCAGCAGGCTGCAAACTAGAGGGAGGAGAGGAGGAGGAAGATATGGGGGTTCGGAGGAAGGAGGTATACTTTTTTTCCCAGCAGGGAGGAGAGCCTAGAGAGAAAATATGAGGTTAAAAAAACTGGAAAAGCAGGCTTATTGGAAAGTTGCCAAACCCTAAAAACCACCCCTCTTTTCTGCCAAAACAATACTTTAGCAAACCTAAAATAATTGCAGGAAGCTCTTTTCCATTTCAAGAACTACTACCTGGGGGAGGGAAAAAGAGGGGGTTCTTAAAAGGCACCCTTCCAGAGGGGTCCCAGGAACAGGGACGGTAAGGACAGCCTGTGTCCAGTTCTGGGCACGTTTGTGGACCAGAATCTCTCCCTTTCCTAAGAGGACATCCTTCTCACATATTATTTTCTCCTACAAAGAAAAAGATGCCACAGCTAAAGCACTGCTGTTTCTGAACGTGGTGGAACTTTTTCTATGGCGTCTATGCTCAAACCCACTGGTTTCGCAGCTCTGGGGGGAGAACGCTCGTTAATCTCCGCCTCCCTTTCTGCAGACCTCCCCCCCCCAATCCAGTGAATCTTCTGCGCGAACCCCCCCACCCCACACACACCCCTGCTTCTGAATGCCATAGAAGCTGCACAAAGTTTGCAGGATTTTGTGCATAATTACCTCTGCCGACGATCTATTCCCCTAGAAAGCTTCGTTGGAGAGATTACAATGCTTTGAGCCATACCGCATTTCAGAGGGGGAAAAAGTTACCTAGGAGGTCGGATTTTTTAGAAAGATTCGCATCCACGCCCGTTTGCCCCCGCCGCGTCCCCGCTCTCCACGCCCCCGCGGTGGGCCGGGCAGCGGGCACCTGGCGGGGCCGCCGGCCGCGTCCGCGGAGGTCTGCGGCGCGTGGGGGAGGGCCGGGAAAGTAGTTTTGTTTGCTCAAGCACATCCTGTGCGGCCTCCGCTGCCCGGAGCACAGCCTGCAGCCGCGCCGCGCCGCGCTCCCCGGTCCTGCGGGGCGGGCGGGGGCCGGGAGGAGGGGGCGCGGAGCGGAGCGGGGCGCGGAGAGGAGCGGAGAGGAGAGGAGAGGGGGAGAGGCGAGAGGAGAGGGGGCGAGGAGAGAGCAGCGGAGAGGGGAGAAGAGGAGAGAGGAGAGGAGAGGAGGGGAGAAGAGGAGCGCGGAGCGGAGAGGGGCGACCCCGGGAGAGGGGCGGGCGAGCGCGCGCGGGCCGGGAGAGGGGCCGGGGCCGCCCGCCGCAGCCCCCCCGCGCCGCAGCCTCCCCCCCCAGCCGTGCGGAGCGGAGCGGAGCGGAGCGGCCGGCGAGGCCGCGGCGGCGGGCAGGCGGCGGGCGGCGCTGCGCCTTTAACGCCCGGCCGCGGACATGCCCAGCGCCGAGTAGGCTCGGGCGGGGTTAAAGTTCGGCGCGTGGCGCGGCGCAGGGCGGCCGCGGAGCCTGCGATGTGAGCGCGGAGCCGGCGTCCCGCACCCGCTCGCCGGCGGGCCGCGCTCGGAGCGATGTACTCCCCGCTCTGCCTCACGCAGGTAGGCGGCACCGGGGCTGCGGGCGGGCCGGGCGGCACTGGGGGCGGGCGGGCGGCGGCGGGGGGCGGCGGGCGGGCGGCACTGGGGGCTGCGGCCGGCCGGCCCCGGGGGGCGCGCGGCGGGCGGCGCGCGGGGCTGCGCCGTTCCGGGCCCCCGCGTGCGCGCGTGTGCGGGGCCGCGGCGGCGGAAAGTAACTTTGTTTCCACGCGGGTGCCTCCCGCCGGCGCAGGGCGAGCGGCGCCCCGGGGACCGCGCTCCGGACCGGCTCGGGCGCCCCGCACGCGCAGGCCGGACGCCCCGCGGCCGCCGGCGAGGGGACCCGCGCCCGGGGCGGGAGGGAGCTCGGCCCGCCGCCCCGGACTCTCGCTCGGCTCAGGTGCGCGGGGACGCGGGGTCGGCGGAGCGGGCTGCGTGGACGCGCGCCCCCCGGGAGCCCGCGTCCCCGCCGCCGCGTCCGGGAAAGTTGGGGTCGACCGAGCCGCTGCGCAGGAGGCCGCTCGGCGGCGTGGGGCTCGGTCGCGCTGGGCGCTCCCTTCCCATCGCTCCGCGGCTGCTCCACCCCGGGCGAATGACTGCAACTTCAGGGCTCCAAATCTGGGCCTTTGGAGTGTATGATTTATTTCCTTTGACTGAAAGGCATGAAGTCAAAGTGATTTTGCGCTGGAAAAAAAAAAAAAAAGGAGAAAGTGCGAGCCTTCGTACTGTTTGGGTAGGTTACGAGGATCTGACTATTAATCACTGCACGAAGTTGTCTGCTTCATGCTTCATGCAAAGTGTTTGTTTACGAGTCCCGGAAAAACCTGCCGCCACCGCCTGCCGTCCTGTAGCAGGAGACAACGGTTTAACCCGAATACGTTCTGCAAGGCTAAAAAGTATCAATAGTTTCTCTCTCTTCTCTAGATTCTGGATTTATTTCCCACATGACATCCCTTCTTGTTGCAGTATCTAACAGTAATAATACCGGCTGTTTGATCTTAGAAGGCTCTTAAATGCATCTTTTATGCTGAAATGGTCTGTTTGGGATTTAGGCCTAGCATTAATAATGGATAGCAGTTGCTTTTAGTTATGGTAAAAGTTTTTTATTTTTCCCTAACAAACTTCCAAAGTTGCTAATTTAGTAACTTGTGGAAGTTTGGACTGAAACTTTTCCAACCACTGCTGGCAAGGCTCACAATTGCATATGGATAAGATGCAAAGTGTAAGAGATAATTTGAATGAGTTACCAGTACAGTGAAAATGCTGGGATCCAAGGGCTGAAGTTCTAGCTGGCAGGAGTTTGCAACACGGAGAACTTGGGGATAACACCAGTGTGCTGCAGTAGTGGGAAAGGACCCTCACACAGATGCCCTACCGTCTTCTCAAATGGACTGTCTAAGAGGAGTTCATGTTTTCGGATGGTGCACATGTGAGGGTAATGCCTGTGCATCCATGCAGGCCCAGAGCACAGTCAGGTGTGTGAGAAGGTTGCATTCTCTTGGATCATGAGCTATTATCACATTAACAAAGTTGGATTACAAAAAAATTTGGCAGTGTGATTGATACATTCACTAGGCCTTCTTCTGGAAACACCACTGAGAGAATCGCTTACTTAGTCTAACAGTTTGTGAAGAAAATTTACACTAAATAGTGAATGAAGGCCATATATTTTATGAGTTCTTTTAGAAATTGATTTACAATTTATTTAACTTGCTGGAATATTTATAAAGCTTTAGAGATGGTTTTAAAAAGAAAAACTTGGGTGGTTTATTGGTCATTAAAGAAAAGTCCAGTAGGCACAGTGATGAAAGTGCTCTAAATGAGAGAGTACACGCCAGATACGTGGATGTAATTTTTAAAAGCTTTATCAGGAAAATGCCAGACATCTTGTTTTAATCCATGTAGGCATATCGTAACCAAATCGGGTACCTGGCCCTAGAATGATAACCCAGTAGGAATTTATAGGTGAACCTTTAAAAGAAGTTGTCCCAGAAATAATCAGCATTCAGTGGTTCTTAAACTTGGACAACTTAGAAACAGATGACCGTGTAAGATGCTGATTCAGAGTCGTACGGTGTCTGAAACAGGTTTTCAGGTTTGTTTTTACCGGTGGCCTATAACTTTCTCACCGAGTGCATATGTAAAATAGTCTTTGTTTTCTCTGGAATATTTTGAAATATTACGTAGCTTATGGCGAGATGTGCAGCCACATGATTTATAAGGGCATACTGTTTTTTTAAACTAATTTATGCTGTGCCTGGACATTTCCTACAAGTTAGTGATTTTTTTAGTTTGAGGTTCTGGAATATTTCTAATTGTGAGTTGATAAAGGTAAGTAGCACTTTAGTTGTACGTGTGAGTAAAGTTGTACAAAAGAGTGTGCACTTTTATTGGCACATTCTTGAAACCTTTGGGGAGTAATAAGTTGTAAATACTTTTGATGCAAAACTGGGGGTTTCGATTATTCTCAATGATTAGTTGACACAGTTTGCCTCATTTAAGGATTTTTATGATGAGATATGTGGACGTTTGGCTGGCAGGTAAACAAAATCCTTGTGAACACGAATGAACGCAGTTTGCAGTTCCGTGAGAGGCATGTCGGGAGTGTCTTCGAACACTTAAATACCATATTAGAATGTTTATTTAAAATGTTTGTTATCTTTAATAAAGCTTTTTAATAAGATAACATTTTCACGTAAATATGAATTGTTTGGAGCTAAGTTATTCTTTGCCTTATAAAGTGGGGCTGAGACTTTAAAATGAAATCTTCCTTTTGGTGAAAGCCCACTTTGTGGTTAAGGTAGACTCCGGGAGTTCTTTGCATAATACCACACAGCTTCGGTCCCTAGCATGCCCTGTGTGTATAAGAAAATCAGTCAAATGCGAAGGACTGTTTCAAACTCCGAATTTATGTATTTTAGAGCATTTCAAGGATGAGCTCAGAATTTAGTAATGTTTAAATGCTTTGTGGTTTGGCGTATACCTTATTAGATAAATTGTGCCTTAAAAAATGCCCCCCTCCCATTTCTCTCCCCTGAAGTATGGCAATAAGAAAGATTCTCAAACATCAGAAATTTTAAAATGCTAATGCTTTGTGGTAAAGAATAGTATAATTCTTGTATTTTTCTCTCTTCTCTCTCCACTTAAAGAATGCACACATTATAAAAGCTGATTTCTTCTCTTTTGGATTCTTTTATTGAAAAAGAGCAGTTTTCAAGCTAAACTTGAATTGCAGAGCCTGAAATTTGTTCAGGGAGGAAAAAAATAAATGTCAGTTACTGAAATGATTTATTATATAGTATATTACCATATACTTACTTTTAAAAAACCAGTCCTATGTAGGTGTTTAGATGATTGATTATAATTTATAATCTTTTAACAGACTTGATTGTTAAAATATTTTACCAATTTTAACCACTCAGTTTACATTTGAAAATTTAAAAATTTAGTGATTGCTTTAATAGTAATAATATTTTGGACATTACAGTTACTTGTGCCTCCAAAGTATAAATTTAGATGGATATTACAAACTGAAAAAGAATGCATTTTATAATATTTGTCCTATACTCTTTTGAAAAGGATCATCAAATATCTCTTTGGTTTTCTTATCCTTATTTATTTGAAAGTAAGTAATTTATCTTTTAAGAGGGTTGTGTGGTGGAGAGAAGTTATGTAAGACCAGTGTGGTCTGGTTCATCAGAAGTTAGATGTAATCAGAGAGCTTTATGAAGGCTACTGCTTAATTTTTTAAAAATTTTATATTTCTTCAGAAAATGTCAAGTAAAGGAATCAAACGTTTTCAAAAATCAGTAAGAAAAATTTAAATGTTTTAAATTCAATTTTATTTTAAAATTACTTGAATTTTGAGAGGAAACTGTGAGGATTTTCCTGGAGTCCTGTAAACATTTAATATGCCGTGTTCTCTGTTTCCCTGTGAGAAAAAGTCTGAAATATTATTTCCCCAAATTAAATACTGATTCTCTTTTTCAGGGGTCATTATTACTGAAGGCATTTCACAATCATATCAGTAAATTAAATGTATTTAGTTGCAAGAGTGTTGTCACGATGACGCATTCTGTTTACTATCTGGCATGCACGCTTTTCTTTGTTTTTTCCTTTTTGTTTCATTCCCATAGTATCTGCAACTATGTCTTGGACATAGATCTTTTATTTTAGTCTGATGAATATCAAATTCATCTCTTCTTTTGTATAGGGAGCTGCCAATTCTTCTAAGTTTTTGACTCAAAAAAATTATGTGCAGCTGTAATACTTAAAAAGGCATTAAGATGCTACCAGAATGAGCGAGGAGCTGCCCAGAGTCTCCATGCAATATTTTTAGAGGGAAAGTCTTTGTTTTCATTGATCGCAGAGTGGTTTTCGCTCCTGGACTTCCATAAACACTGACTGGCATCTGCATGTTTAGGGTTTGCCAATCTGGCGGGCGAGCCTGGCCGCCCCACAAGGAGTGAGGTCAAGGCTGGAGCAGAGTTACATGTGCCTTCCTTGAAATAGGGTTAAGATTATATGTTGTCATAAGTATTTCAGTAAACTTCACTTGCTGTCTGAAAGATTCGGGACCTTGGCCCGACAATAGAACCTGGTACACTTCGGTGAACGTATCAAAACATTTTTAAATGTTTAGCAATTTTCTTCTTTGAGATTGTGAGAAATGATACCGACAGTTTTCTTTTTTCCCTCGGGGGCTTCCCAGAGGGATCCTCTGTATGATTTTGGGAATGTAGTGCTTGAATCGAATTTCAGGTGAAATAAGGATTTTTTTTTTAAGGTGACCATCTGAAGAGAAGTTGTTTCCTTTGTTTTCGTTGTAGTTATATTTTTATCTGTGTTCCTCTCCCAGGATGAGTTCCATCCTTTCATCGAAGCTCTTCTGCCCCACGTCCGAGCCTTCGCCTACACGTGGTTCAACCTGCAGGCCCGAAAACGAAAATACTTCAAAAAACATGAAAAGCGTATGTCAAAAGAAGAAGAGAGAGCCGTGAAGGACGAGCTGCTGAGCGAAAAGCCTGAGGTCAAGCAGAAGTGGGCGTCTCGACTCCTGGCCAAGTTACGGAAGGACATCCGACCGGAGTACCGGGAGGACTTTGTTCTCACGGTCACGGGGAAGAAGCCCGCGTGCTGCGTGCTCTCCAACCCCGACCAGAAGGGCAAGATGCGCCGCATCGACTGTCTGCGCCAGGCAGACAAAGTCTGGAGGTTGGACCTTGTCATGGTGATTTTATTTAAAGGTATCCCGCTCGAAAGTACTGATGGGGAGCGCCTGGTCAAGTCGGCCCAGTGCTCCAACCCGGGGCTCTGCGTCCAGCCGCACCACATAGGGGTGTCTGTGAAGGAGCTCGACTTGTACTTGGCGTACTTTGTGCACGCGGCAGGTAAGTGTGGTGAGAAGTCGCTCCTCTCGCTTGGCTGGGTCTCTTTCCTGGTGACCTCTGCGTGTGCCGGACCTTCCCTGAGCTCCCGAAGTCGCAGGCGGTGTCCATCCAGATGGCGTGGTTCCCCAGCCGGACCGTCCGAACAGCCAGCAGCCCCGGGCCTGAGCCCCTCTTTCGGGTGGAGAGGTGCAGCCGTGAGGGGATTCTCACTCAGCTCAGGTCTTTGGCAATGGTGTTATGGAAGGCGTTGGTAGTCAGTCCTGTGACACGTTGAAATCACGTTTTGACGATGGGTGAGAAGCCTCGTGAAAACCTGGTAGGACAGAGTGGGCCCTAACGGCACGTGGCCGGGTTAGAACGCACTGAGTCTCTGTAGTCGCTTTCTTCTGGGAGTATTTTTAACCCACGGGACCCTCTTGAACCCCTGCTAATTAAGAAGAGGTTGGACATAGGGTGACTGTCAAGTTGCTGGTCGTTTATGAAGGAAAAGAGGCATTATACGCAAACTCAGAGGCTGTTTATTTAGGGCTTAGTGTTCTGAGAGAGCTGAGGAGAGAACGGACCAGCTCTAAGTAGTGATGGAGAGGTTAATCTTCAGTCACCAGCCTGTGCAGTGCATGCGTGCATTGAGAAATCGATATTGATAATTGATGCAGTGAGTTGCTTTGATTCGAGTTAGGCTTCTTGACTGTCCAGGGCTGCTCTCGAGCCCTGTTGTACCTGTACAAGTGAGTGGCGGAGGATGAACTGTGGAGGGCTGGATGCAGGGATGCATTGCTACTTTGTTCCTTTCGTCTTTTAGACAAAAGGCTCATTGTGTTCTGTTGGAAGCTCAGGCCCTGTGTAACTTGTTGACTTTTTATACGTACATCTCGGTATCGGTCTTGCTAGATTACCTGCATGGCAGTTACTTGAAGCAGATGGAAGAAGGAGGGTTGTGGAATCCTACCAGTAGGTTGTTCTGGGGCTCCTATATTTGTGTATCTTTTCACAAAGGAGAGAGATGTTACCTGTAAAATCAACACTGCACTGTTTTGCAAAACATTGTTAATTCTAAAAATGTGATCTATTTTTTAAAGAAGTCAGCTGACAAGCTAGCCTCTATTATTTTTCTCAGTATATCTTTTAGAAAGAGAACTTTTGTTATCCATCTGTCCTTACATAAGAAACTGGAGAAATTAACTTTGCAGGCATGTCACATCGACGTGCATTCTCTTGGCAGGGGATCCACGAGTATTTTAGAGGATGTGCTCTGTAAGTTTTTCAAATATTTGGGTTTCTGAAAACATATCCTTAATTATAAGAAGTGCCTGTTGCTTCAGCCAGTTCTGGGTCTTGAGAATGAAAATGCAGCACCTCTCAAATGACCTCTAAACAGGAACAAGCAGCCTTGTCTTAACCCCTTCAGCCTCTTGTTGTACTTTTTTCATCTATTGAGAAAGCAAAGTTAAATTTTTAAAAATTTATTTGCATACATAAGTGGAGATTCTGATAGGGAAACAAGATGCAAAAAATGTATGGGTGTTATAAGTGCTTTCAGGGAGCACTCATTAAAATCTTGTGTTTAATGTTCTCGAGATTTAGAAAAGTAAATTTATGAATTACAGTAAGTGTTCTAATTCACACCCTAGAAAATGGAGGGTGCCCACAGGTGGGGCAGTCGAGGTGCCTGCTTCCTTGCATGGTGACAGCAAAGGGAAACACCTCTTAGGTTTTTGTGAGGTGGGCGGCGCCCATGGCGTCTTAGCGGAGAGCATCTCCCTCGGCCAAGGAGGTGCAGCCTTCCAGCTGCTGCCGTTACAGGGGTCCCTGCTGATTGTTGAGGTCTGTCGCTGTGCTATTGTTCCAGATCCTTGAATGCACACACTTCTGCTGGTTTCAGATCCTGGCGGGTTATGTGGGTAAAATGACACGTACGAGGTTGCTCAGGATGGTTAGCATCCTTATCGCTCAGACAGGGTCTGTTGACAGCGGCGTGGCTCAGACCACCTTCCCTTGTGGTTCTCCTGAGTGTCCCAGAATCCCCTGCCAGGCCTGGACACCGGCCAGGTGTCAGGCCATTGGCTATCAGGAGCCAGCGCCGCCGCCATGGCTGCTCCTCTGTGTGCGCAGCGGGACGACTGCAAAAGAAAATATTAAGGGCCTTTTGTCTGACAATATTTCACATTAGATTTCAGAGATTTAGAGACCTGTTATTTGTGGAAGGGGAAGTGCCAATACAAATAGGAGGTGCATGGGTCAGCTTGCACACGATGATTCGACAAGCATCTGTTCTAACACTGAAGATGTGCAAACACTAAACGATGTTTTCACCTTAAAAGTTCTGAGAACTTGCCAGTCTTGGCAGGAGGCAGAGACTCTGAAATGTGGTTCCAGAAACGTGCCAAACCATCGTGGCCATTGCACCTTTCATGTGTTTTTCCCCCCCTCTTTTTTTTTTTTTTTTTTAAATGTTGTACTTTTTTTTTCAAAATGCCATTTTTTCCCCTAGATGGCCACAAAAATGAGATCTTTTTTCCCTTCTAAAGATGTGTACAATAACACTTCCTTGTGGCTTGGCCTCATCCTTGGTGGGAAGTCGATGCCTTGGAGGGAGCACACGCAGATCCTAGAAGCTGATGCAGAATCAGTCCCCTTTGAAAATCACAGGTGGTTTTTTCTGAGACTTATTGAGATGCTAAAATGCAGCACATAAACTGCATTCCAATTTTTTTCTCTAAATCCAGTGGCATTAGAACTGTGTGAATTTTGTGGCTGATAAACAAGTGTAATGAAGTCAGAGTGATTCCATAAGCCTGAGAATGTCATCTTGTTAGAAGTATGAAAGAGTAAAACCATGTTTTGCCCTCAGTCTGGTCTCTGAGCCATCCTCCCCATGGATCACATGACCTCTTGGAGATATTACGGTTTGTGGCACACGGCTTTCTTCGTGGGCGTGTAACAGTAAAGCTAATTTATGGCTGGTCTTTACCAGATGATCTGTATCAGAACCTACAATATGCCCGGCACGTGGCAAGGTCACAATGTAAGTTGTTAAGGTCATGACCTTAGCCACCAGGCGTTTGACCTTTTAGATAAAGTTAACCTTTGCTCATTAGCAGGCACTCAACCGAGAACTTTCTGGAGAGTTTTTTTTTTTTAAACCGCTTCTGTATAACTTCTGGTAATGTCATCAGATTCTGGAAGGATTCTCAGTTGTGTTAGTTAAATTTTGTAAGAGTTTAGACTGTCTGAGGGTTCGTCTCTTGGACAGAGGTGGGTTGCTGTATCTGGGCCACAGAAGGGCAGAGCCATGTTTACTTTTGAGTTGTTACCTGCTGTATGGTAGAATGAGAGCTCTGGGGCAATGGTGTGGAGACCTTTAAAACTAAGACACAGAAATTTATGTTGAATTCAGCCAAGGCCCTTGCTAATTTTCAGGCGGCATTAGGCCCCAAAAGCTAAATCGCAATGAGCATCTTCACTTTTTGCAGATGAGGAATTTTCTAAGCTTGGAAGTATTTTTAGTGATCTTAAAATTTGCTTTGAAAGATTGATGAATGACCAGAATTTGTCAGGTAGTTGCTGTAGTTGGTAAGTAGCCAGTGACAGGGACAATTGAATTTGTGCGAACGGTGGCATGCGTGCTTGCTAGTTTTAAGGTAGGAAGTGAACGTTTTTGCACAGTGATGTCTCAGCTCGGTGGTTACTGGCTGCTGCCGCGCCGTCCGCTCCTGTCTCTTCTCAGCATCACAGGGACCAGGAAGAGGAGTGGCCCCGTCATCCCCTGAAGGAGCCGTGCAGTGTCTCGGAAGGCTGTCACCCATCCTGGAAACTGTCCGGCAGTGTCACTGATGGCCATGTTACCTGTGCCCTGTTCTTCACTTCTGCTGTCACAAGTGCTCATTTAAATTACTTACATCACTGCTAGTTTTGCTCTGATATGTCATGTACTGTTGCATTTCGACAAAGAGAGCACGGCTCCCCCTCAGGTGCGTTTTAGCTTTATTTTGGCCTCGCGATTGCCATTCCTTCATAGAGTCACAGAGAAAGCTGCGATGTGCAGATTCACCAGATGGTCATGTTGACAGATTGAAAATTCACTTCCTACTGCTTCAGAGCAGGTGTAAGATTAGGAGTGTCTGTGCAGGAGTGTGTGTGTGCTTCATGTGCGTGTGTGTGCACAACCAGGCTGCACACAGAGTGCTGTGTAGGACAATGGGAAGGATTTCTTTTTTTAAAAAAGCTGGTACTTTAAATACAGTGTAACTATATGCATGAAGTTATCAGTGCATATCAAATAATTACTGTAAATTTTTTTTTTTTGAGGAAGGTTAGCTCTGAGCTAACATCTGCTGCCAATCCTCCTCTTTTTGCTGAGGAAGACTGGCCCTGAGCTAACATCGGTGCCCATCTTCCTCTACTTTATATGTGGGACGCCTACCACAGCATGGCTTGACAAGCGGTGCCAAGTCCGCACCTAGGATCCGAACCAGCGAACCCTGGGCTGAAGCGGCTCGTGCGAACTTAACCACTGCACCACCGGGCCGGCCCCTGTGAAAGTTTTTTAATGAATATTGTTGATGGTTACAGTTTACAATTTTATACCAAATTAATTAGTTTCTTAATTTTTAGGTAACTTACCATGTTTGTTTGCGGCAATATTGCATATCTGAAATATATCCAGTGTGTTCTGTGAGCAGGTGCTTGTGTGTGGCGTGGTGTTTACGCTGGAGTCCAGGATGTACATTATGTGATCAGACTTCTTCAGGACCTCGATAAACTCCCTGCTAGAGAGCATAGCAGTTAGTTGCTGTGATTGAAATAACAAACTGTATTTGGAAGAAGGAGTAAGACTAATGAACAGTGATGTTTACAATTAAGAGAGTAAGTACCACCCTATCTCAGATTCTAACTCTGCCCTTGAAGTAAACACAAGGTGCATTTTGTGGCTGATTAATCTACTGTCAATTAAGGATATATGCACACAGTTTTAGAAAATTTCATTTATCTTTTTATTT